TATATATATATATGAACACCACCCATTTCAAGGACCTTTATGAAATCTCAAAAAGAGGTAAAATAAAAAATTTTAAATTTTAAAAAATGGGTAGTGAAGTGTGCCTAAAATCCCTGGACAAATATGTTAATCTCCTCTATTAGATATTTCACAGAGCCAGAAAAAAAGCATCATGGAACTTCACTTTATTATAAGCTTATACCAAAAAAGTAAAATCAAGTAACGTGGAATAGTATCCAACTTAATAGATTTAATCCAATAAAATCACGTAAAACCTCACCTGTTTCATCCTTACATTAATCACTACTATGAATCAAGCTCACAAAAAATAGGCTTACATAACAAAAACTATATAATATAAAAATATTGGAGAGAAATTATAATCATCGTTAGTCTTAACCTAACTAGTTGGGGTCGCTATAAGAGTTCTCATTATTTATTTATTCTTAATAAGTGTTGCAAGAGATGCTAAGCTTATTCCTCATATCATTTTTAACAAATTTATTGAAGTTACCCTGATCATTCCCCTTCTTCCAAATCATGCAACACTAACTTTATCTATCAGTTTAATAGGTTTATTTTCTATCCATCATTACTGATATTCAAATGACTCACTTACAATTTTAATTATTTGAATTTCAATAAATGACACTCATCATCATTCTTCTAACAAGGGCATTCTTTAATTTATCCTTAATCCTCCGGAGTTTTTCCACATATTCATAAAAAAATTTAAGTAATTATAATTTAACTAACACCACTTTTCATGCTCAACTTAACTAACACCACTTTTCTGTTACAAACAGATGATCCATATATCATTGTCGGCCTAATTATAATTTAGGAATATATCTTTTGAATCTCCATTATATCCACCATGCACATATTGCTTGTGAGATAATAATCCATTTAAACTATCCATCCTTAACTTTAGAATTTGTATTCTCATATGCATCCGCATTTTTTTATATAACAGATCCAACATATTTAGGCTCATTTGGCAATGTTGTTACACAAGATTGTGAAACATCAAGCCGGAAGAATGAAAGGTTCAAGGTTCATTGGTTCAATCGAGGTTGAACCGGGGGACATAATAAATATAAAAATTAACTAAATATGACATAAATATCATAATAATGATATATTACATGCAAATACTAATTAAAAAGTGATCAAAATTGCATTATAAAACATATAACACATAAAAAATAAATTCAATAATTTTAAATATAAAAATATTTAATATTTGAATGACTACCCTCATATTTGTGAGCGCTATTTACATACGGAACACACATGCAGTTTTGCGTGCATATTCCACAAAATAATCTTCCAATAACTTAGTTATTGTGGGTAACCTATCAATACATTCCGCGGTTCCGGACTCATATTTTTTACTGTTATTCGGAAGTTTTGTTAGGTTATTGGGGGTATTACCAATAACACAATCATAACCCTCCAATACCTCCCGAATAACCTCTATATACACGCAACTTTGCGTGCGTACTACGTACGTAAATATTTTTCCATATTTGTAGCCAAAAACTTTCTTTGAAATCTTATATTTTATAGTTCTTTCCTTCAACATTTGATAATCTAAAAGTAAAATAAAGGTGAGAGATAATTAAGATTAATTAAAAACCTAACAAAACTTGAAACCCACAACCACAACTTCTTCTCTATACTACTCTTATAATATAAAAAATCACTATCCAATGAGGATAAAATAAAACATTACATTCCTCTAAAGCACTGCTCCATTTTAATCACACGACTTTATCTATATAAATTAGTCATTTTCTTTGTGTATAATAAATCAAATAAGTTAAAAATAAATATTAGTTTTATGCAGAAATTAACAATGATCACCCCAAAAATATATTATGATTTTAAATAAAAATATAAAATAGCTTTCATATTCCTGTCGTCCACCAAATCATTCATGAAAAAGAAAGTAATGTAGTTTTAAATAATAATAATAATAATAATAATAATAATAATAATAATAATAATAATAATAATCAGTCATTTAAAACTGCAGCTGGTTCAGTGGTTGATCGATTCATCCCCAATTTTTATTTAATTAGAATAGTAGATGTTTTAGATTTCATTTATGTTAAAAAAAATAAGGTTAGACCTAAAAAAACTTGGGCATGTTGTATAAAAAATGATCTAGATTTATTAGAATTAAATAAAAATATGACACTCAATGGAACACAACGGAAAAAAATGATTCATGTAGCCGACCCCGCTTTGTGAGATAGAGGCTTGTTGTTGTTGTTGAAATAACATTTTATACTTCCTTATTCGGCCAGTAAATCCTAATCAATATATAATTTATTCTATGACAATTTTCCTAATAAAATTAGGAATCTTATCTCAAACTAGAATTGGCTCAATTAAAGAGCATTAATTTTGCCTCTCTTAGAAAGCTATTTTACAATTTTGATAATTGGTGATCTCTTAAATTTCATCGCCTTATATTATGGCAATTACTTCATTTAATTGATTTCTTTATGCTCTTACGATATGCATCAACAACTACATTTTATTATTGTTTCTATTCTCTTGGAGTCACGTTACAATCTATGGGAAAAAAACATTGAATTAAGGAAAAAACTATGTGATATAAGGGCTTAAGTTTTTAAAGTGATTAAGTATTCTAGTTCTTTAAAGTGTATGCTAATTATTATAAGATCATAGGTGCAAACTCAAGTATAATTTCTTATATTGCATTTCTACCCCATATTATATGCCCACCAAGAATTCTTTCATACCCCAACCTACTTAGAACATATGTTGTAATTCATCCATCTCCTACTAAAACTAATTTTTACAATTAGCATAGGATCCAAAATGAAGACTAAGCCACTAATAATATTTATAATGTCCTCATCAAAAGCTAATTTAACATTAATAACTCAATCACTAACACATCTCATCTCAATAATGACATTTTCTAGCTCTTTATCCACCATCTCAATATCCATCATCTCAATCTCATCCATATTTTTAATAGTTTTCGCATATATAATAAATCAAAACCTTCTAAATATGTATATTTCTTCAATCATTGTGTTCACTAATCCCCTTCTCTTCTCATCACAAGCCCCAAATTTTATGTTTAAATCAACTTTTAAATTTAGACAAATTCAATATTCCACAATTTTTAAACAAAATTGGGTTAAGTTGAGGCATGTCACTCCTGGGTAGCATCCTAGCGAATCCTAAGCCTACTTTAATCACAATAATCTTAAATTTTGGTGTGTCAGTTAGAGGTGACGCCTTAACAATGCCCCGACTACATTTCAGTACAAATAGGACTTTAGACCATCACCTAACAAAATTTATTCTTAAATTTATCTCACTTGTTTTAGCGATGCTAAAGATTGAATGCCAACTAAAATTCAATCCTCAACCTTTCTCATATGATTACATAAGAATTGGTGAGATAAGAAAAATTAGTGACTAATTATTTTCTAAGCTTCCTTTTAGTTCAACTACTTCATAAAAGCTCCTTTATGAGAGAAGATTCCCGCCTGTAAATCATTTTGTGGCAAACAATAAAGTATAAGTGAGTGCATCTTTTGAGCATCATTCCTACCAAATTTTATTTTTAAAAAAGAATAAGCATGTCACCTATGAAGAGTGAATGTAATCATAAGACTACAGCACAAAATGACATGGTAAATATTCAAAAACAAAGGAAAAATGGCAAAGAATTGTGATATTATAAATGGTGGATGTTTAAAAGTTAATAATAACATGAAGATGAGCATAAGATCAATATTTATGGTGATATCATAAAGCACAAAACAAAAAACCATGTCAACTGAAATGAAAGAAAATAAGAGTAGAGAAAGAATCAAAGGGAGAACCTAAAATAAAAATAATGTGACAATATAATTGGTCAATAGCAGAAATTGCAACCAATGAGTAAACCATTTTGTGGCTTTCAATAAAGTAAATTACGTACATCTTTGGAACATCATTACCAAAAAAAATTAATTTTCAAATAGAATGAGTATATCACATATGAATAGCGAAGAAAAACATAAAACTCCAATATAATATGAAATAAAAAGTAAATTTTCAAAATCATAGGAAAAAATGGCAATGATGGATGTTTAAAAGCTAACAATATTAGCATGAAGTTGAGCATATGCTTGATATTTAAAGTAATGTTATGCATCACAAAACATAAAACCAAGTCAAGTGAAACAATATGACAAGAAGAGATGATGATAAAGGGAAAGAATGAGAAGGAGAACCTAAAATAAAACTAATGTTGCTATAAAATTGCTCAGTAGCGTAAATTGTAACCATTTGATAAGACAAGCATGTGATGTAAAAAGGAGTGTTAAGGAAGTTTTGGTGTCATATACAAGAAAAACAAAATTATGCATTAAACAGAATGTTGGTTATTGTACTCCTATTTGTCCGATAGTTCAAATATCCAAATATGTTCTACTTTACAAATTGATTAAAGGGAACTCAAATGTTTAAACCTTAGAATACTAAAACAAAGAAATTTTAAAATTTTCTTAGTACTTTTAAAATTTTCTTAGTAGGCCCATTCACATAAAAAGCCAATTACGAATGCAGATTATGTATATAAACCCTCCCAAAATCCTGCTCCGATCGCAGCTTAATGCAGTGGACTGAAACATAGTACGACCATCATTCATAGGGGCTATTCGGCTGCAAATAGTACTTTGTTAGTAGGATTTAATAAATCCCTAAATCCTTAAATCCAAAAATCAACCTATTCCTTGGATTTAGTAAATCTAAATTTAGGCATAATCTAAGGCAAATCTGGATTTAAATCCGGAAAAATATGTAAATCCATCGAAATCTACTTTTGTTGCTTAGCTGGATTTCGTAAACCTAAATCCTATTAAAAACCCTCTACCAAACAACCCTGTAACCTAAAAGAAAATTAGGCCTACTACGAATGGCAACTCTTCTAACCTACCTGTCAAATATCATCATTTAGAAAATCGTTATTGATTGCTAACAAGAGATGAAATCAAACTTTTACACTGAACTACACCAGTAAATTGGATAGACCGCATGATGATGAGCCCTTTAAATATAGTAACTACATGAAATGGTAGCTCCACAAAATTGAACTCACATCAAGTAAGAAAAGTTGTTATACTATAAACTGCTACAGTAAATTGGACAGGCTCCATATTGTAGATAGCACTCTTGGACATAGAATGAAAGGGTAGCTCCTCGAAACTAAATTCAACCTTCCCTGTCTCTCCTTCACAACACAGTTTCAATTTCAATAAAATTGGAGACAATCTTCATACCAGGCATTATAATCTCTTCTCATTTATATTCTTTAGCTTTCAATAAGTCTCATACCTTTAAAATTGCAGGAACAAAGTGATAGTGAAACTGTCCCATCTTTTAGTATTCTTTAACATAATTATTAGAAATTCAATGTTTCGTGACACCATTAAGACCTAGTACTTATCTTAAAAAAAAATCTTTATAAGCAATTTCATGACATAAATCTTTAGTGTCGGCATCAAAAGGAAAACAGTAACCGCCACAATCGTCATTCCCAGCAGAAAGAGTTGAGAACTCGAGGAATGGACAAATTTCCTCCGAATTTGTAAACATGAACAAAAAACCTAGCGAAAGATGGTTCTTTACTCATCCGAATCCACCAAAATCATTGATTATAGAATTTTCAAGACTTTAATAGAAAACCCAGCTCAATATACGCTAAAAAAGGTTATGAAGAACCTGTCCCGTATCTGGAGCTGATCAATCATCGTGGACATTCGAGCTTTGTCCTCCTCTGGGAGGTTATCCAGATCGCCGAGCATGCTCTTGTCCATCTTTTGGGACTTTCCTTCGCTTCTTTCTCTTGTTCTAGGGTTTTAGATCGACGCGAGCGAGACGAAGGATTTAGATCCTTCTTTAGCACGAACCGTTCGATTGCCGGATCCCCTGCGCCAACTCAAGGCAGAGTAAGAGAAGATGGACGGCTCATATTTATAATGAGAGGTATTTAAATACATAACGCCCATTTTTTATGTGTTTACATATCGAACATCAAAATTTTATTTTTAATGTTAATATCATCTAAATATTTCTAATTCTATCAAAAATGTCATTATTATTATTATTATTATTATTATTATTATTATTATTATTATTATTATTATTATTATTATTATTATGTAATAAAGTGTATAAAATTGAAGTTTGGATAAAAGAATCCACTTCAAAAAGGTGATTTTAAAGTTCTAAAATGACACTATTTTCATCTCGTTTGATATCTTATGCGTCTTATGTGAGCCTTTCTAAATATTAACAAGCCATGATTTTATTGTCAAATTTAAATTTCATGTTTTTTATTCAAACTATATTATAATTTTTAAAATTATTGTAGTTTATAATTGAGATAAGTCATCAGCAAATTTTCATTATTTCGCATGAATTTCGAGGTATGACATAAATTTTGAGGCCTTTTCTTAGCGAGAAACATTCAAACTCGAACTAAAAATCATACAGGACTATAACTCAAACTTATAGATAAACTGGTCGGCTTGAGGGGACGAACCCTATGACACCAAAATTAAATCAATCTAAGTTTAATCACACTTGGATCAAGCTGTTAAACACCTTTGGAAGCTTTGTGTGCTTAGAGTCAAATAGATTCCAAAACTGACAATCTTATAGCCAAATCTACTGTCTCAATGTGACGAATCCAATGAGTCTAGGATTACTCAATTCTGACATTATTAATCACTTAAATGTCCATAACATGTCATCCGATCAAAGAACTCATTTTTGAGTCGTCGGATAGAGTAGGCTGGATTTTTGTTTTATTCACATGGGATGTCACTTCCAGACTCTATAAATAGATTAATACTTCTTTCATGAAAGGAGACTAAGAGCTAGAGGGAGATAGACCTAGACGAGAATGAGTGGAATCCAAGTTCAGTTATGGATTTAATGACCTGACAATCACTCCTGTAATTGCCGACCACCATCTACCCAGCTCGTCGGCCACCGTCAACTACTATTGGTCAACCCTGGTTGTTGCCATTAGTGGACCTTGTGAAGTAACGACATAACTAATGTGGAGTAATATTGTACATTACAATGAAGCCTCGGGGTATTAACATCGTACATTTTGAAGTAAAAAAGCACTTTACGGCGTAGCGAAGTGTCTTGAATAATATGCAATGATATACCCAAAAGACGGTGTACCGAAGCTCCGTCGCTCACTTGTAGTCTACTAGGGGTGTAAACGAACCGAACACGAACGAACAGCGGTCGTGTTCGTGTTCGGTTCGTTTGAAATATAGTTTGTTTGAAATAGGCTCGTGTTCGAAATTGTTCGTGAATAGTCAGTTCGTGTTCGGTTCGAAAATGTTCGAATTGTTCGAATTGTTCGAATTGTTCGAATTGTTCGAATTGTTCGAATTGTTCGAATTGTTCGAATTGTTCGAATTGTTCGAATTGTTCGAATTGTTCGAATTGTTCGAATTGTTCGA